TTCCCCCAGACCTCTTACAGGGTTGACAGGAGACTTCACTTCCCAAGTGGCAGGAAGACTTGGGGATTGAGGCCACAGCTGTCAACTCCAGAGCACTGTGGCTGACACATCATGCTTCTTGCCAACAGAGAGATCTTTAATTAGAAATTAGTGCAGCAAACAGGATTATAATCATCTAGGGTCAAAACATGGACTGTAAACTGCTTTCTACACTGTCTTAGGTCCTACATGGCAGAATTTTTAGGGCTCAGTCAGATGCATTTTGACATTTCAGAGCGAACTGACTTCTGGTAGGACCATAGTTGCTTTGTCACTTATGATGTGTCCCATAGAGGGAATTGTCCTGCAATAGAAATGCATTCTATTTTAGAAGGTTAAAAAAGTCACTTGGAGGAGCCATGATTTTATGCTCTGACATTTCCCTTACTTTCACCCAACCCCACAGTTTCTTCAAGTCCAAGCTCATTGATTGCTAAATAATTTTGGTCAAGGTTGGTTTTTGGAGGATAGATTTAGCTGGGCATGGAAAGCAGACTTCCGGTCTGGCCAAGTGAGCCTGGGGAGGAGGGCTGGCTGAGTTTTAGGAACCCATGCTACCCTCTGAAAACGAGACGTTTCCTCATTGTTGAATGCAGAGATGCAATGGAGCAGTAATTCTCTTGCTGAGTTCCACATAAAATCACTAGGGAAGCTTTGAAATTTTCCCCCATGAGATTCTCTGCTGATGGAGCCTGGACACCAGTATTTTTTTTAAGCTCCTAGATGATTCCAGTGTGCAGCCAGAGTTCAGAACCATGGCTATAGAGGAGGGAGGTTTTGGCATTAGGAAGAAGGTTGTCCTGTGAAGTTTTCCAATTTTCGGGGCATTCAAGTGATAAAGAGTGCTCTCCTTTTGTAGCTTCAAAAGCTGAGGATGCTTGCACTTCTTGGTCTTTCTGCCTGGGATGCACCACCCGCCTCAAGACTTGGCATGACTGATGGAGCCAGCTGTGCCAAGGCCCTGCAGAGTTCTCTTGGGCCATTATCAAGGAGGGGAGAGATAAGGGTGAGGTTGAAACAGTCAGGAGCTGATATATGGGGCTTTATAGGCCACAGAAAGGAATCTGGGTTGGATGGCAGAGGGGTGGTGGTGATCTGACACATACATTTTAAAAAACACACTTTCTGGAGAGTCTATTATAGGGCTGCTATGGTCTGAATATTTGTGCCCCCGCCCCCCCAATTCATATGTTGAGACTTAATCACCAATATGATGGTATTTGGAGGTGGGGTCTTTGGGAGGTGATTAGGTCATGAAGGTAAAGCCCTCGTGATTAGGATTAGTGCCCTTATAAAAGGGGCCACAGAGAGTTCCTTATCCTATCTGCTATGTAAGGACACAGAAAAAAGACAGCTATCTATGAACCAGGAAATGGGTTTTTACGAGATAGTGAATCTGTCAGTACCTCTATCTTGGGCTTCCCAGCCTCCAAAGCTGTGGGAAATAAATAATCCACCCTGTCTACAGTATTTTGTTATAGAAGCCTGAATAGACTAAGACAAGGGGTAAGAGTACAATCAGGGAGGCCAGCTAGAGGCTTACACAATGACCCAGGTGAAAGAGGCATGTGGCTCAGACCAGGGGTACCATCATTTATGGTTTGCATGGAAGAACAGTTTTTTTCTTACTTGTATTTCAAATTAAGTAATACATGCTCATTGAAAGAAATTAAAGCAATATAAAAGAACATAGAGAATAAAATAGGAACCTGACCATGTGAGGATTCACCTCTTCTCATCTAGATTCAGTTCTCACTTCTCCCTAA